AACAACCCACCACCACAACAACAACAACAACAACCACAACCCTACCACTGATTGATCCCCTCTCAACAACTCATAGACAACTACACCTCATGGCGGGGCGCGAGCTCACGGCCCTGGAAGTTGGACGTCAAGTTGTCCAAGTGATGAGCCATCAAGCCCAACAAGTCCTCACCGGAGATCCAGGGAGACCATACCAAGCAATCCCCAGGGATCTCAAAAAAACAGAATCTGAGATCATCTGAGTCATATATTGTCCTATCCATAGTCCATAGGTGGGATCTCTTCAGCAAAATGTGATGGGGTCGTGCCAATAATTCAGAACTATTTTGACCCCTGGACCCGAAACACCGGTGGAGGCCATTGCCTCTAGGAACAAGAAGCTACTGGGGGCTCCTGGCATTACTACTAGTAGCAAGAAGCTGCTAGTAACAATCCATTTTCAGATTCTCTGGGGAATGTCCCAACTGGACATCCGGAAGCCAGAAGGTGTTTAGGCACCTGTCAATGGTGAGGTGAGGTTTCGGTGATGCCCATCTCACCCTTCACAACAATGATATAATCAGTTGCTCGAGAACTTACTCTCCTGGTGCCGGTGCCCCACAACTGTTGTACATTCTATGAGTAGATTTGGCAAAACTAGGCAACTTGTCGCGTCTGAAGTAAAGGTAGTTCCATCTCCAGGACTTACATTATAATTGTATATAAAACATATGCAACAACACTGCAACTGTTAAGGCTCCCCAAAGTAGATCAAAACTCAACATACATATACATATATATATAATTAGAGAGATAGATATGTGTAAATCTAGTCTAGTCACAGAGAGATAGATATATATATATATATAGAGAGATAGATAGATATATAGATCCATATTATCCGTGTCTCTGTATGTAAATCTAGTCTAGTCACATTGGTCATATGGTCATCGAGTCATCCCCAGGCGATCTGACATCGACACAGGCTCCTCCAGCTGTTTGTTCTCCGCCAAAAGGCTATCAACCATGGCCATGTAGTCCTTTTCCTGAGACGAAGTGGCCATGTTCAAATAGGTGGACATGGAGCTCGCACCAAACTCTGCTAGTTGGACCTCATGTTCCCTGAGCCTCATGGTCCAATGTATCCATGTATCAACTTCTGTTGTGGTTGCGTTTGTGTGTGTGTCGCGTGCAGGTGCCGGTGGCTGTGTGGGTGGACCTCTCTCTCTCTCTCTGTGCTTGTCAGCTACCAGGGTTGTAAACGCACAGTGACCAGTGACCATTTCTGAACCAATCCAATGCTCTCAATTGCAAAAGACCTGAAAACAACCCCGCTTGCGGGTTTCGCTTAAGTTCCTGCCTCTCCTGTTCATCAAGTTCTGCCGGTATTCCTGGTCCAAAACAAGACAAACACCCCGGTGCCAACCCGTCCAAACCACCTCATCGGTCCAATGACTCCGGCCGAGGCTCCACCTCCTGGACCAAACGTCGACACCAGGAGGCTTCCAAGCACTGATCCGGAGCGTCCATCGCACACACGGAGACCCTCCAGTCTCACTGGCGCTCTTGTTTGGGAAGAAAGGCCAGTGTAGGAAACTGGCTAGATGCAAGGAAAGCACTTGCACTGAAATAGAAACATGTGCAGAATGTCCGGAGTATATTATATAATCTCAACACTTATAAGTCAACTGAGCTCTGTTGAAACACACAAGGGCACGCTCTCGGGGTCTTTTGGTTCCACCAGGCTCATGGAATCCCATCCTTCGGCCTTTGATCTTTGAAACGGAAAATACGGCCACACTGAAATGATTGTTCACAGCAGTAGAAAGAAGCTCTCCAAACCTTAACCTGGATCTAATGCTAGCTTCCTGATGCAACGCAAATATCCAGCATCTCTACTCTGGGCTTGAGCCTGTGCCTTCGCTGAAATGTCCTGGTCTTGCTGATTCGCTTCGATGAGGCCGTCCCGGTCATCGGAACAGTGAAAAACTTGGCTATACTTGGATACTGTATAGGGAATGTGTGACACGCCCCCCCTGAAAATCATGCCTGAGAAAAGCTGTCAGAGTGGGTGCTGCACCATTGGACTCTATAGTCTTGCGAGATGAACCGACCATCGTTGGTCCTCCTCGGCATCGACGAGAGAAGTTCGAAGGACACAATTGAGATCACTTGGGCAGTTCGGTTGTCAAAGCCCTAAGGCACCACCACATGTGAACCACTTTGATATGCTCAATCTATATGTCAAGCGTATAGTAATTATACAACAGAACATACACACTCAGACTCATACTCTAACTGTAACCATGCATGCTGCTGCATATATATATATATATTGCAGTAAAATGACAAATCAAGCTTTGACCCGCACACCCAGCACCAAAAAAATACTAACGACCCCCAAGCCGCCCCGGTCAAAGCCCGCAATCTTTTGTTGATCAAATCGAGCATTTGAAGACTGTCATTTACAGACGACCCCCGTAGCAGCTCAACGTCCAGTCAAGCAAATTTGCCAGTCCAGCGCGCATCAAACAGGCGCGTTCACCTAGAACCCTCCCTTGACCCCTCTTTTGAAGTATCAACGCCACACGAATCAAGTGGATGGTCTGCTTCTGATCAGCGGTCACATGGGTTCTAGGCCTGGCTTCATATTGTATCGACTGTCCTTCACCCAAGCAAGCAAGCTTGGTGCAGCCGACGGCATGTCTTCATCTCTGCGAGACCGTTCCGTCAGTGCCTCAGCTCGGCAAGTCTCCCGCTCTGCGAGGGAAGACGACCAACTGACCAGGCGCGGAAGACACGAGAAACTCTTTTGAACATGATCTTCCTTCCGTTTCTTCCCAAACCAAGCAGGGGGCTACCACCTAGACCTTTGACATTGATAGCATTGTTGAGTGATCAATCATGTATAGATATATTCAAACCAGGGATGCTATTGGATGGCATTTCCATTGATTGATTTCTACTTGTTCACCTCCATCATCTTGCACGATATTAACACCAAGACTGTCCAAGCGTCCGCTGAAATGGCAGTTACGTACGGTCATTAATGCACTGAAATGGAGGGACTCACGAACCTTAAAAGGATCTGACACTCTGGTGTTCAAAGCCATGTTCATGGAGCTTCCGGCTTCCGGTCGCTTGAACTCTGGAATGTGAGGTCGGTTCAACACCACATATGGCAAATTCTTGATACTATAATACCACTTCAACATTTGTAGACTATGGTGTCACTTCAGTATCCAAAGGTTGATTATATAGTACTAGTACGGTCAAGTCAATCTCAACGAAGATAACATTGTTGGATTGAAGGACATTTAGTCAGTATCAACATGTAACAATGTAATATCAACATGTATACAGTATTACATATATTATATATAATTGTATATATTATAGTTATATGTATTGAGTAACGCCTTGCAATTAGATGATGTGTCTTTGCATTCCTGATCATTAATCATTAGACATAAACCAAATGCAATGACAGAATCAGGGATGAAATTCAGAACTCTTCCGTAAACCCCGTAAACCCCGTACCGAGGCTTCCTTGACTCAACAATAAAATGAAGCTCAAGTTTTGTTCAAACAGGCAAGCGCGATCATCATGTTCGCCTACATTCCCTTGTCCTTTGTTCATCTTCCTATAATCACCCCCAGAAACGAAGACCGGGGCAAACCTCCCAAAACTCAACGATCTGTCCTGAATTCGCTGGGAAAACTTTAATCGAGCAGCTAGGCTGATCCTCCAGAGCTTGCTCTTCCAATGACAGCACCGTCGACTCCTTCATCGACACCGGCAGTCTGAAAGGGTTCTTGGATAGGCCGAGCACCAAGTACAATCGAGGTCATCATTGTCTGCTCCAAGAACAGGGCTCACATCCAGCTGGTCACATGCTGAAACTTGCCTTGACACTTGAACACTTCAGGACCTCATGGTTCTTCGGTTCACGCTCACAACTGCAAGCCAGTAGTCCAGTCCACCGTCAAGGCTGGTAAATTGAACAAACACATACGGCAAATCATTTTGTGGAAAACACATAACCACTCCTGAGTTGTCCAGCTTCTGGCGATGCCCCATTTGTGAAACTGAACACCCGCAGTTCTGTGCCGCAACAAGGAACACGCATGAACAAAATGGTCCTGATCGTCTTTGTAATCTCCTGTTCAATTGTTGGCTCGACATCATAGCATCATAAAACCATCATAAATTATTACAGTATATAGTTGTATGTATACTTATAGCATAATATAGCATATTATAGCAAATAATAGAAAAAATCTTATGGCTTTTGACTCAAAGAATAGTATGACTATATGTATGGCTAAATCCAACCAAATCAAATATGGACCCACCACCCTCCACAAGCGGCCACCAGCGACAGGTCTCCCCCTCCCATCCCCTCCCCTGGGCGGTCCGTCTTCACCTCATCTGTTGGTTCAGGCACGCTCAACAGTTTGTCGTTGCTCTGCTTGGCCTTTTCAGCGGCCTGGCACAAACGTCGAAGTCCAGCCAAAGGAGGCCGAAGAACAGAACAAACCCTTCAAAGACTTGGAATACCAGCCAACCAACACGCGAAAGAACATCTCAGAAATGATAAAGCTCAAATTTACACCGACCACTACACCGACCCGGGTGCCTATATAGATTGCAACCCTGAGTCGGTATACGTTAGCTCTTCCAAGATTGGAAAAAAACATCGAAATCCTGAGCACACCCAAAACCATCGAAATCCTATGCATGTGGGGGGGGGTAGGAAGCTACTAGTAACAAGTGCATCGCTAGTAGTAACAGGTGCCTTACTAGTAGTAACAAAAAGCTATTAATTTACGGCTCGTTTCGTTCGCTTCGTGCCCGACTGGGGGCCTCCAGCTTCCGGGCATTTTGGTTCCAAATCAAGGTACAAGTCCTGTAGACCGTCCTGGTCGGAAGCAGCGGTGCCGGGGGGGGGAACTTGTTCTCTGAAATCACTCACGTTTTGACTCAAAGGCCAGGATGAGGACTCGAATTTATCAACACTTGTGGTATTTGTAGGTCATATTTACATGCAGGGTTTGGGATTTGTAGTCAGCCTCAAGGAACATGACCAAAAGGAACATGCGGTTTCAACTGTTTGAGGCAAATATCAGTCATGCTCACAGGACGACGAGGGCGAGAAACTGTAAACTGTTGTAGGGAAGTGTCCTGGTTCCGAAGATACAGGCCACGAGCTGACATGCAGCATAGGTATTGCCTCAGACTCAGATTGCTGCAAGGGAATGCGATGTCGGCTTTTTGCAGCTTCTCGGAGCTGTTTGATGCCAGAAGTATGATCATTCCGTGGCTGTTCCAAGAGTGTGACTCGACCAAAGACAGGACTTTTTTACATGTCCCATCTAGTATCTAGTGGCAAGCATGAATGACTCATGGATTGCTCGTGGAAATGAAATAACAAACCTCAAAAAATCTCAAACATGTCTGAAGATAACACTCCTTTGCGATCCCTGCTTCTCTCTGCTTCAGGTGCTGGAATTAAGCTTTGACTGACTGGTCTAGAGTCTATTCATGTCTACTCATATTTACTCTCTGTAAAGGATTTGTTCTGAACTTTGCACACTGAAGAATTTAAAGGCTTCAGTGCCCTACAAAGTCGGAACTTGATGATCGATGAACCTCCATTGTGCCAAGTATTCGAGTCTTCAATGAAACAGGGACACAGTCTTTTCTTATCTTCATCCAGTCACCTGATGGACTGGCAGGTCATTCCCCTAACATCACCACGCTCGGAACCGAAATCGCTCGACTCGGGCTCGTTCAGGATCGTCGACTCCTTCCTTTCCGAAGAGACGGCGAAGACGATCATGCTGCATCCACGCTCTTCCCGCAGTGACAATGGCTCGCTCGAACCCCCCTCCACCGCTTCCGCGACTCCGGCGAAGTCTTCATCGACCGCCGCGCGACCGACCACGTCTGGGGGTCTGGCGCCGTCGGCCGGATTGGTCTGACCGACCCAGGCCACCGGAACGTCTCCGGTTCTGACTGGCCGCATGTTTCGGGCGCACGTTTTTTCGGCCCGGTGGCGGCCACCATAGTCCACCAGGAATCGGCCAACGATGGGACCTCGGGAGGGCTGGAGATCCACGAGGTGCCGACTTGGCAGTGGATGTGTTTCAACACCAATTCTCCCACGCTCCAAGATCCATCCTTTTGGAACTTTGGGGGAACCCCTGACAACCGTATGCCTGTGTACGACGCTGGAGGGACACCGGAGGGACCGTCTGACGGGTCGGGGCGTTTCATAACTTTTCTTGGTGTCTCAGCTGGGCAAAAAACATCTGACTCATCTGACAGGCAACATTCCGCCACCGAATCCTGATAGAAGTCTACAAAAGTGGCTCTCAACCCGCTACAATCAGCTACAGCAATTTATAGGAGACTGCAACTACGTACCATGCAGGAAGGTGTGTTTTCCTTTTCAGTCCAGTTTGCATAGATGTTGTTGCGTCTTACGACTGAATGCGACACACTTGGTCTGGTCTAATGGTCAGGGGTATTCTGCTTGGCGTTCTACTATGTTGCCAGCAAAGAGTCCAAACCGAACCACCATTTATCGCATTGGGATGCTTTTTGACGGCACTGCAGAACTCAGAATTAAACGCACTATGATTCTTGGAAACCAAATGCGGCCAACCATCTGCTAAAACAAAAAATGGTGTGGTGCGTTTCTTCTCCAGCTTTTAGCCAGATGTTTGTCGAAAAGTGAATCATTCTAGTGTTCTGTTTGCCCAAGACCTCATGAATCTATTCAGATCTTATGATCTCCTCCGCTGCAAGCACCCTCAAAAATGCCATCCAAATGCTACGGTTGAACTGTTGGACCGGACCCTGCAAATGCATGGAGATCCTTCTGTGATCTACGTAGGCCCTCACATCGGCCTCTGTTCTGGAGATTTCGCTGGGCAGGACGCCTCGTAGAGTATAAGTTGAAATGGCCCCTCACATCCCCTGACTATAATGATACCTGAGGATCCAGCCACCCTCATTACCTAAAATAAGTGAAGCACAAGTCAGCTTCACGGGAAGCCAGCCTCTTCCTTCCTTCTCGCATCGGTGGGTCGTGTTCGTTCGTTCGGACCGATCAGACCCGGTGAGTGAAACGCAGCTGTTTCACGCCCCACGGGCCGATCCCGGATCCCTAACATCCAGTCCAGACAAGGTTCCCAGGAAGCGACCAACAGTCACCTCAGCACTCCGACCGAGTTACTCGACATGACCGAAACTGGTCCGTAGGCCGAAGTTGGCGAGATCCCAAGCCGCAAGCCCGGGATCGACACCGCTTTGAGGGCCCAAAGCTGCACGAAGAAACTCAGGTGGTCTATATATATATTATATATATATATATTAGTATATATTATATATATACAGTAATATATTGGTTGATTCTAGGTGTTGGGGACCTGACATGTTGTTGTTTTTTCTTAAGAAGCTTTTCATAAGCTTCATCTGGTGTTGCCCAGCCTTCACTCAGTCTCCCACGTCGGCGTGTGACACAGCCGTCTTCCGCAAGCGTCGGCTTCCTTCGAATGGATGTTCTTGCTGGGACCTCCCAAGGTCCGACCCCTTCCTCGAGTGCCCCATCTGCTGGCGGCTGACCATGGTAAAACCTGGTTGACGGAGCTTGTGGGGGAATGGTCAGGCTGGCACTTGATGTGTTGTGCACTTCATTTGGCATACACTCTGTAAGGGACACACCTGCAGACCCCGCATAGCTGAGCCAAGACATCTGAGAAAGGCCGAGGAACTGCCGACAACTGCCGAACCCGGTAGTCGGTGTTGCTGAATCCTCAGCATGACACTGCGGGCCGAACCATCGAGATTGTAGCAGATGCTGGGCCAGTGCACATCGCATCTTTATCTGCATTTGAAAGAAACACGAGCTGTTATGAGTATACGTATATAAGATCATATTTGAGTATACATGATCATGGATTTGGGTAGGAAGGAAGAGGTACTGAGAGAGAGTAGGACCCCTATGGACCACTAACACAATTCTCAAGATCAAAAGCTGTCAAAGATTTGGCCCAAGAAGCTGGTACCTTCCTTCGCTGCACGACTGGCCCACCCTTCCGCGATGCCATTGGCCACCTGGTAGCAAAGAAGTGGGGCGAATCCGGGCAAAGTGTCCAAAGCTGGCACTAGTTCTTGGGAGGTGATGGTAGTTTGTTGAGGTTATTGTTGCTGGATCCTTTTCTTGGAGCTAAGCTTAGCTATGGTGGATTTGTTTAGGAGACCTTGTGGGGGAGTTTGAGGAAGTCTCGTTGGGATTTTTAGGATCGTTTATAGACAGAATCGATTCATAGATGCTGAGTCTTTCACCGGGATTCCATTCGTAGAGAGGTAAGGATCTTTACATGTCTTTACTCACCACCGGTACACATCAAGAGCTGTCATAGACTCAGAGACCTGTCATAAAAATCTTGATTCCATCAGGGGCCGGCTCTTCCGCTGGCTTCCGCCGGCTTTTTTCCATGATTTTGTTCAGACGTTCTCCACCAGTTGCTGTGCACATGCGCCCGCGCATGACCAAACCAGCAAGGACCGGTGGATCGTCTCACCCGCCGGTCCCGCTGCGCCAGGGCACCGTGGCACCGGTGTAGATGATGCAGTCAGCCACCAGTAGAAACCAACCAGGTGTCGCAGCTGGGCGCAGGGTGACGGTCAAACAAGTCGACACATGACGGTCAAACAAGTCCGCGTCAACTCGTCCAAGTCATGTCTCGAGTCAGATCAATATGACATCCCATCCCCAAGCCCCAAGCGTCTATAGAGATGTGATTATCCAGTCAAACATCTGCAAAGGTGTGGAAGTGGACGCTTTATGACGCTTCTGTAAGTCCATCGACAAAACCCGTTGGAACCCGTTGGTCCCATCGGTCCTGGCCTATATCAAACAAAACGAAGCAACCGAGAATGGACGAGGCCGCCGCAATCATGAAGACCCAGGATTCCTGCACAGTGCTGCACAACGAGGCATCCGGCCAAAGGCATGATCCTTGCCAGCCCAGGCTCGGGCCTGGCTCTCGTGTGGCTTGGAAATAGCATGTGTGGCGCCAGGTGTTTTTCCGCTCTACAAACACTTTGGAAACGGAGCAACCATCCAAACTTACAAGTCCACCCCGCATATAACAGGAACATCATCGGTGTATACAAGGGCCCACAAGGGGTGGTGAATGGACACCCCTTAACCCCGAAGGGGCCTTTATTAGACACCCCTTCAGGTCAAAGAAGATTGACTAACATCCATTGAGGGGTCGCTACTGGGGTCGCTCTATTCTATGACACAATGACATGATGTTTTGCCAGTTTGGCGTTACGTGCAGTCACAGAGGCGCAAACGTCAATTCTCAAATAGCGGACGTTTCCTAATTGGGGTAAAGAATCTATACACTCTTGAACTATTCAACCAGAGCTGGTCGGGTGATTCGGTTTGCTCTGGTAACCTTTCCCATAAGATTACCAGATCTCAAGTGACCTTGTGACCCTGAGCTTTTGCTGGGTTTGGCTTAGGGGTTCCTAATGCAGAATCATCACTCTATCATCACTCTTCGGCCCGCGCGTCTCCCACGTTCTAGGTCCTGGAACCTTCCCTTGACCAACATCACCTGACACCGGAACCAACGAGGCCCGCATCGGCTGAAGCATCGGTGGAGGTCACGAGGGGCGAGGGGGCTGGCGCCGACCATGGACAGACTCTAGGGGCGCGGCGGGGCACGAGGAGAGCACCGCAAAGACACGGGGGTTCTGAGCATGACTCGGGGGCCCAGCTTGGCATTGTCATGATGATGCACGGCGAACCCAGCTTGAAATTCAATTCACCCTGTGGAGGGAACACAGCTTGTACGGCGCCAGCACGTCTGCATCTATGAACAGGTCAAAGAGAAAAAAAGCAACGCAAAGGTTCTGTATCTGCGTCACAAGCAAGTTCTGTGCGCATATACTGCTCCAAGAAAAAACATGAAAGGTCATGAAAGAATTGTAGCCTGACACCCCGACACCCCCAAACACCACCAACCAAAATAAGGTCAGCGATGGTCAGCGTAAAGTATACGCATCACATCAGATCATTGTAGTACTCAGTACTCCTTTGCCGGCGGTCCACCTTGAACTTCGGGGCCTTTGCCGGGCCACAGCGCAGTCACTGTGCGGGATCGCTGCCAAGGAGCTGTCGTGAAGGCCGACATCAGAATGCCCACAGAGCATACCCCCGTGAAGCAAAGCCCTGACGAGGGCTTGAACACTTCGCCCACGAAACGCGTAAACGCCACACCACGGGCGCCACACGATCAACGACCAATATCTCCGTTGGTCGTAAGTCGCGCAATAGGGAGACCAGGGTCTGCTACAAGCAGCAACGCCGCACAACCCCACTATATCCCACTATAGTAGGTGGAGGCCATTAAAATTACACACCCACCAGCGAAAAACGCAATTCGTGGGACTGATCTGCGTCGACATGCATCGCTTCACCCGTTTGTGAACACGTGCGCACCGGTTCACCCGGGGTTTCGGGCTCCTGTCTCCTAGGGGACGCTCCCAGGAGCTCTGGGAGCTTAGCAAAAGCGACCAGTGGTGGACCCCCGTTTTTGCCACTGCAAAACCCTAAGGAGATGGCTCTGGCTATTCCTGTTCAACAACCTGAACCTGGTTGGTGACCACTCACAGTAAGGAACTTCATTGAACTTTTCCCCTCAAATATAGGGGAGCTTTACAGCGAAAGCTCCAGCTGAGTCGATCTCTTTAGGGTTCCTGTTACTAATTGTTGGATTATTGACTATGCATGGTTTTGAGGTAGATCTGGTGGTGTCCGTCGGACACTCCCTCAAAAAAACATCAAAGAGCATCGGAGAAGTGTAGTTCACCATTGTGCACGTGCTTTTTCTATGATAAAAGAATTCGCCAAGCAATGAGCCGGCCTTTGTTTGTTCCTTCTATTGGGGTGTCGTTGGCGGCATCACGTTGAACCAAACTGCTCAGCGATGCTGCGCCGCACGGTGTCGCGCGCCGCGCGGTGTAGAAAACCGCGCCGCGCATTCCGCGTTGCGGCTGTTGTCCCGCCTGTCCAGTAGGGATCCCAGCCTTATTGCTATCGTTGATTGGTGAATCCGCAATGGAAGGGCTCTGCAAACAGAAACACTTGAGTGGTCCACTTTGTGACATTATATTTGATAATAGTTTTACCTATCTTGGACATTATTGACCTATTAGGTTGCTCACTTGGGCTATCTATCCCCTCTACTAATCAACCAACCAATACTAAAGTCCATCATAGTCCATCTATCGCTTACATCGATTTGTGTTGGGGCTCCAAGATCGCTCGTTGCGCTGAGCGACCATAGTAGACTTCCAGCATCATCAGGGTGGAGACTTCCACCGCCGCCAACGTGAAGGGTCGCTCCTTTCGACGATGCCGGAGGCACTGGAAACAGGAGGCGACCTTGTCGACAAGCTCTTCAACATGTGACTGGGGTACAATTGGTTTGGTACAATTGGTTTGGTGAAAAAAGAACTCGAAAAACGTCGTTTGGGATGCATTCAAATCATTATCAACCATGTTTTGTCTCATACACTGATGGTATCTTTGAGGCTCTGCAATTGGGGAATAGGACAGAATCATTGTAGGCGGAATAGGACATGGTTTCTCAGCAACCCATCTTTTTCGGCCCAATGTGTTGGCCTCGCCCTCGCTTCGCCCGGAACCACCATCGAACCCTCTTTCTTCGTTCCTCCGACCCCCCTCTGCGGAAAACCGTGCGACGCGGTGGAGTCAAACCAAGTCCAACCAAGCCGCGACGGCATACCAAATCATGTGCCAAACCATCTGCTCACGTTGCGAGTCAGGCAGATCTTCCGGCTTGGAATCGCCCGTCGCGCTGAAGTCTGCGATGTCCTGGCCCAAAAGCGCCCTCTTGATGGTGTTTTGGTTTGTCTCTTGACGACGGTGGTTTGCGGTACTTTGGGACTGGATGTCAAGTGCGTAGCCCTATGAGGGGTGCTTGGATTCGGCATCTGACGCGACAAGGCACCGGAGCGGACTGGAGGCCTTGGAGGCGCTGGGAGGTGTGTTCAGTGGGTATCGAGGGGCGCAGCAACAAACCTTCCTCCCCCACACAATAGAAGCTATAGCATAAGTATAAAACTTTGTTGCAAATTTTCATGTGTAAGGCAACCCCTGTTTTGCCAGTTTGCAGCTCCACGTTCAGAAGGTATTCAAAAAAGACAAAGGACCAGCCCAACACCTCCAACAAATCTTGAGAATATACTATACATACACATCGCATCTGTTTGTATGTAGTTCTAAATACATCTGTTTATCCACATCTGTTTATATACTTACACATATGTACATGTCAAAGCTCCAACATCAGTTTTACTGCCCCCTCCAAAAAAATATGTTGCCTGTTCTCTGAGCGGTTCCCGCTCCTCCGTGCCGTCGCTCTGGGGTGGCTCTTTGGGGATCTCCGTGGGCATGATAAACACGCCGAATAATCCGCTAACCATGCCCAACCAAAGTAGGAACCTGAGAAGATCTTCCGCCAACTAAAGAAACAGGGTCTATTTTCGATATGTTTTATCTTAGTGTATCTTTGGGGGGAAGAACACAAGCGAACAAAAGACAATTAATGCAGTGGTTACATGTGGTTACTATGTATATGTGTTGCATTTGTATATTGTGCATTGCAAGTGAGTGATTTCCATCAGCAGTGGTCAACAATCATGCAAGGGCATGTTGCTACACCATTTAATTAAGTATTATGTGTTTCCTGAGCTTGGCAAGGAACAAAAAGAATTGTACGTTTATCGATCTGAAATACCATCCCTTATAATAGATCCATTGTTGCTTCGACTTGCCTAGCGACTTTCAAAGGGGACATCCCCTTGTTGTGAACATCCACCAGTCGAACAGCAATTTGATTCGGTGTTGGTATTGGGCAAAAGGATCATCTCTACCAGCTCATACTCTCATACTCTAACCGCTAGAGCTCCCACGGACCCCGAACGGATCACTTGAAGTCGTTGATGCCTGGACAAAGGCCACAACGACTACATTGTGACTACATGTGCCTAGGCCCGCACAACCCAAATAGAACAGTCAGACAGAATGCAGTTGCCCCAAAAACGGTCACTTGCCACTGGATCAACGCGATCATCCCAGCTCTTATTGTGGGTTGGACCCAAGTGTTCATTTTCTACGATATTACAGTATACGCATCCGCATTGCATGGTGAATGATCCACTATGAATGCACCATCGGGCAAATAGATGAGACAGTGCGAGGGCCAGTAGATTGCACCATTCACCATAGTGGCAGTGGCCGATATTGACTCCGCCAAATATACAAAATTGGGGGGATGAATGCTCCCTCGCTTGGGTGAAACCAGCGAACCCACAAGTACAACAAGTAGATGCGCAACCTCTGCTCTCCGGTTCTTTGCTTTCCTTCGCCTTTCGTTTCCCTCTCCTTCTCTTTCCCTTCCTTTCCCTCTCGATATCCTTTCCCTCTCCTCTCCTGTTCCTTTCTTCTCTTCTCCTGTCCCTCTCATTTCCTTTCCCTTTACCGTCCCTTTCCTTTCCTTTCCACATCATTGACTGGACACAGAACAAATGGGAAAGGAATTGAAAAGATTGGCCAAACCCATTCAAACCCACTAATGTGATCGACACTTCATTGACCTATTTTCAGAACCGGGCATGATTACAGCCAAGAAGTCTAAATTGTGTCGTTTTTGCGTGCTGGAAAGGCAAAATGGATGGTATTCCCCCCCCACCTCCCGGTTGGGCCATCTCTACGTCAAAACGGCCTATTCTACATAGGGGTAGATGGCGCAACAATTTGTTGACCCTCATCGATTTGCCTAATGGAGTAATGCATATCTATGCCAATATCTTGAGGTTAAACCGTGCGACTTTATACACTTCTAAGATTTCTAAGCTGCACAGTGTCAGCCAGGTACCAACTTTTGAGACACCTTGTTATCAAAGAGCTGCATATATCAACACAAAGAGAAGGAATCAACAGCAGGGCTGTTCTATCTGGGGAAGTTGCCGACGTGCTAACAGATGGTCGCAGTCAGGCAGCACATTGATCCAGGCCATCATACTTCGTGGGCTGACCTGGTCACAGCAGTCGTGCGCAACCACGGAACTCTGGTGAAGTGTGTTGTCGAATGGCAAAGGGTTGGTCTTACACTTGTGAGACTGCAAGGCAAATTGCTCTGAGGATGGTTCAACTGACTTCCACACGATGGGTTTTCTCTGGTCCCCGATCCAACCATCATCTCAGTCCAAGCTGCTCGCTCCCCATCACCAGTGACGGCAAGCTTCAAGACCGTGAAGATCAAGGGACCAATTACGAGGCCCACATTGCGTGAGACTTGCGTCAGAATCCTGAGCTCCCAAGACTTGGTGCAGACTGAAAACACTGGTGGCTCCCAGGGTGTGGCACGGATTCTGGGTGGATGGCTGTGCCAAGAAGTGCTGTACTTCTATTGGATCTTGATAGTATAGTCTAAGCACTCTGTTGATGGACATTGGGTATCGTTGCATACAAAGTCCACAAAGCACCTGTCAACCTCAAGTTGAGAGCAAATCACGTATCAGCTTGTAATGGGTCTCCAAACTGTGCTGGCAAGACTTCATGCTGATTGATACAGCTCTGCCACAGTTCTTTAGGCTTGGATGGATCGACCAACAGCAACATATGCAGCAAAAGCAGGGCTTGTGAGTGCCGTCAAAGCTGAGCATCCTGTATTTCTTTACAAAAGTTCATGGTAGTTATATGTATACTGTATATAGTTATCCTATTACTGCATTAAAACCTTTCAGCCAGCTTTCAGACATGACAACCCCATGGTGACAGTGCTCAGCTGATTTAGGCTGTGTTGATCCAGAATCGGCCCAGCATGACTCCAAACACGCCAACCAAACCTGCACCAATTGATATTGGGATCTAGAGATTACAGCGAAGGAGGCCAGCGCTATTAGGTTGGAGGCCATCGCTCTTAGGTTGGAGGCCATTGCTATTAGGTTGGAGGCCATCGCTCTTAGGTTGGAGGTCATCGCTCTTAGGTTGGAAGCCATCGCTCCTAAGTTGAAGGACATGGCTCTTGGGTTGGAGGCCATTGCTCTTAGGTTGGAGGCCATTGCTCTTAGGTTGGAGGCCATTGCTCCTGGGTTGGAGGCCATCGCTCTTAGGTTGGAGGCCATCGCTCTTAGGTTGGAGGCCATCGCTCCTATATTGGAGGCCATTGCTATTAGGTTGGAGGCCATTGCTCCTGGGTTAGA